GAAAGCTAGGGAAAGTAAGAAAGGGGGAGGGGTGGCCTTGTATGTGAAGGATAGCATAAAATCTAGCCTAATAAAAGTTAGTGAGGCAAACCTAGAGTCCGTTTGGGTTACGTTAGAATTTGGTAATCACACAGTAACTCGTGTAGGTGTGATTTATAGGCCCCCAGGACAAATTGAAGAGTTAGATAATCTACTAGTTGAGGAAATGGCTAAAATGACAATGAAGGGGGAAGTTATCATCATGGGTGACTTTAATCTTCCTGATGTAAATTGGAAAACAAAATTAGCTACTTGTGCCAGGAGCACACATATTCTAAACTCCTACTGGGATTGTCTCTAAAACAAGTTGTTGAGGAGCCAACTCGTAAGAGGCCATACTAGATTTAGTGTTAACAAATGGAGATTTGGTATCAGATATTACTGTAGGTGAAAGTTTAGGATCCAGTGATCATCAGTCAGTGTGGTTTAATATAAGAACAGTGACTGAGTCACACCACACAAAAACAGTTTTAGACTTTAGAAAAACAGACTTTTCTAAAATTAGAATATGGGTAGAGGAGTCATTATCCGACTGGAGCAATTTAAATGGAGTCCAAGAGAAATGGGATTATTTAAAAGTTGCACTATTGAAGGCAACAGAAAATTGGCTTGTCAGTAAAAACAAAAAAATTCAAGAAACCACAGTGGTACTCCACAGATGTGGCCAAAATAGTTAAAAACAAAAAGTTAGCATTTAGGAATTATAAAAAAACCCAGAGTGAGGAAAACAAAATGATCTATAAGATTAGGCAGAAAGAGGCTAAGCAAGTTATAAGAGCTTCCAAATCACACACAGAAGAGAAAATAGCACAGTCGGTAAAAAAGGGGGACCAAACATTTTTTAGATACATAAATGAGAAAAGAAAAGTAAAACAAAGATTAGTTAGATTAAAAACAAAAGGTCTAGCTGACTGCCTCAATGAATATTTTTGTTCTGTATTTACAGATGAAAATGAAGGAAAGGGACCTCAGTTGAGAAAAAGGATAAATGAGTCATTTATTACATGTGAGTTTACAGAGGATGAGGTTCTATTTCAACTGTCAAAAGTAAAGACAAATAAGTCAATGGGTCCTGATGGAATACACCCAAAGCTATTAAAAGAGCTTAGTGGTATACTAGCAAAACCATTAACAGATTTATTTAACCAATCATTGTTAACAGGAGTAGTCGGGCAACTATAGGCCAGTAAGCCTTACTTCAGTAGTGGGGAAAGTGATGGAAACCATGTTAAAGGATAGGATTGATGAACATCTAAAAACACATGGATTACAAGATCAGAGACAATATGGGTTTACTTCAGGGAGATCATGCCAAACTAATCTTATTGATTTTTTTGATTGGGTAACTAAAATTATAGATCAGGGTGGTGCAGTCGACATTGCTTACCTAGATTTCAGTAAGGCTTTTGACACTGTTGCACATAGAAGGCTTATCAATAAACTGCAATCTTTAAGTTTGGATTCCAATATTGTTGAATGGGTAAGGCAGTGGCTGAGTGACAGGCAACAGAGGGTTGTAGTTAATGGAATATATTCGAAGCTTGGACTTGTCACCAGTGGGGTACCTCAAGGATCTGTACTTGGATCCATTCTCTTTAATATTTTTATTAGTGATATTGCAGAAGGTCTTGATGGTAAGGTATGTCTTTTTGCTGATGATACTAAGATATGTAACAGGGTTGATGTTCCAGGAGGGATAAGCCTAATGGCAAATGATTTAGGTAAACTAGAAAAATAGTCAGAATTGTGGCAACTGACATTTAATGTGGATAAGTGCAAGATAATGCATCTTGGAGGTAAAAACCCAAGGGCAGAGTACAGAATATTTGATAGAGTCCTAACCTCAACATCTGAGGAAAGGGATTTAGGGGTGATTATTTCTGATGACTTAAAGGTAGGCAGACAATGTAATAGAGCAGCAGGAAATGCTAGCAGAATGCTTAGTTGTATAGGGAGAGGTATTAGCAGTAGAAAGAGGGAAGTGCTCATGCCATTGTACAGAACACTGGTGAGACCTCACTTGGAGTATTGTACACAGTACTGGAGACCGTATCTTCAGAAGGATATTGATACCTTAGAGAGAGTTCAGAGAAGGGCTACTAAACTGGTTCATGGATTGCAGGATAAAACTTACCAGGAAAGGTTAAAGGATCTTAACATGTATAACTTGGAGGAAAGACGAGACGGGGGGATATGATAGAAACATTTAAATACATAAAGGGAATCAACACAGTAAAGGAGGAGACTATATTTAAAAGAAGAAAAACTACCACAACAAGAGGACATAGTCTTAAATTAGAGGGACAAAGGTTTAGAAATAATATCAGGAAGTATTACTTTGCTGAGAGGGTAGTGGATGCATGGAATAGCCTTCCAGCTGAAGTGGTAGAGGTTAACACAGTAAAGGAGTTTAAGCATGCGTGGAATAGGCATAAGGCTATCCTAACTATAAGATAAGACTACGGACTAATGAAAGTATTTAGAAAATTGGGCAGACTAGATGGGCCGAATGGTTCTTATCTGCCGTCACATTCTATGTTTCTATGATCCAGGTCTGAGACACCGTTTGGGAGTTACCCTCCCCAGCCGCCAGCTTTCCCTGGGTGCCGCTGGTTCGGCACTTTCCCTTCATTGAAATTAAGTCTGCCGTTCGCATGAACCAAACCCATGAACAGTCCTCAGCGGTACTTAGCCGCGGCCTCTATGGAACTTATTTTGTCATGAGGACTTTGTGGGTTCCCGATCACCTCAGTATGACTTAGCTGCAAATACTATGGAACTATTTTCAGCATGAGGTGACCATGTGGTTCCTGGACAACTTGGTCTGGGGTTTTGAATTACTTTGAATTCTGCCAGGAGAGCACTGTTTGGAGGAAAGGTTCCTGAGACTAAGGGGAACAAACGCTATGTAAGAGCCAGGTGGAGGACCCCATATTGCGGACGCATGAGCTCTTGAAAGCTGACCGGCAAAAGCACCAAACGCCCTTGAACTATTTTGGGCATAGGACGTGTGCGGCCATTTAGAACTTTTACACGTTGGTGTTTCCCCTACACTGCATGGATCTGAGCGCTATTTGGACAACTTGGGCGCTTAGATCAGGGCTATTAGGGGATGTATGATATGTGGGGTTATTTTAGGTTTTTATTATGTTTTCGGGTACTTTTATGTTTTTATATTTTGTGTTGGGCTCTCTGTTCCTGGGAGATAATTAGCTTACCGGTCTTTTACTCAATTGAATACAATGGGGACCCCCCACTGGGGTCTGTGCATAAAAGGCTGAGTTTGGCACATTAAAATCAGTTGACTCCAAGAACTATGTGTCGTCTTGTTGCTAGGGGGGAAAGGGTTATTAGAGGAAATTACTAAAAATTACTGAAAATTGAGATACCTAGTTGTGGTATCGGAGCTCCGCTACAGCGTCCATCTTGGATCTCGCGTGACAGCAATGTTCATGGTGGTCATCTTTGGGACTTTACCAGCATTTTGGTCCTCTGGAAGCCTCAATTATCTCACCCATGGCAATTCCTCGACTGGAAATCTCCCTCTACAAGTACTGCTACTCACTGGCATTATTTTACAGTTTTATTTACATCTGTCATACAGCCTTTGAATACAGGGGTGAGCCACATTTTGTTTCTGCCAATTTGCTCTGTAATTTAAGAATATGAGTGACCCCCTGGTGTAAATCTTTAGTTTGCCCTCAAGTTACTACTGCACAGTTATCCATAGTATATTGTCCTGGGTATTTGGGTTGAGCCCCCTAAATCAATTAGCTTAGCCTGGCGCTGCATTAAAGTCATGTTTTTTTGAGTGTCTTTTAGTATGTGTGTAGGGAAGGGGGTTAAAGAATAATGTTAATAGTACACTATTCAAAGAAAAGAAAAAAAGGGTTAGAGAAACCCTTTCTATTTATGCATTTTGGAATAAGTAACCCCCAAGCCACTTATACATTAAATAGGGTTGAGTTAGGGATAACCATAAATGAAAAGGACTTGGGAACCATTATAAATCACAAACTAGTAATGCATGTCTGCCGTTGGATGGGCTACAGAGGTGCCTTCGCACATAAAAAACTAGTAAGGTGGATGGAAAACATTAGTTACGGAATTCTCAGCCTGAAGTGGTTGTGTTATCAGATTCTATAGATGGATTGAATGCTTCTTTTGCATAAACAGAATATTCAAGGATATAATTGACATGTATGTAAACAGGTTGCTGATCCAAGGAGAATTCTGATTGCCATTACGTTAGGATCCAAGAAGGAATCCCCCCACCCCCACCCCCACCTCTTTGTGGCATAACTGCAAATGGCTACACTTGTGGGAGGGGGTTGCCTTATTTTGGATCAACAGCATATAAGTATGGGATTCAGGGTTTGAACGTGGACTTTAGTCATTTTCAACCTAGACAACTATGTACTTATGTAAATGCCACCGGGAAGATGATCAGAAGGAGAGTTCTTATCACAGGGATCTAAAGTCATAATCTCAGATTAGAATTGTTCAATTTGAAAAGATTTCTTAACCACAAGCAATCCATTAATATCATTGTACTATTTATCTATTGCCGTGGGAAGTCTTCATTGATTTGCAAAGTGAATTTTTACCTAGCGCGCAGAAGAACTTGCCGAGGCTGGATAAACCAGGATGGCTTCTAGTCAAGTAGGCCTCAACTTTTCCTGAAATGTGCAGCACTCTCCAGGAAGAATACCCCAAGACTGAACTAGTAGCTAAATCCATGAGAATTCCCAGTGACTTCAGAGAACATCCTAACTGGAGGGGAGGAATTGCAAACATTCAGTGGCCACCACATGCGGCTTGTATAACATCATCTCTGTGATCCATATAAAAGATAATAAACCAAATAATTTTGTTCCTCCAAATTACAAAATAATAACTGCAATAACTACAGATATATCATCAAACACCCGGTACACAGTGTGATAAGTGAATGATATCTGCTCTATAACCAAACACATTGCTGATTAAACATCGTCTCACCCAAGGAGATGAGGGGGTGGTGACTCTCCATCATCACTTCCTTGTAAGTTTCCTTTTGCCCTTTTAAATGCTTCCAAACCTACAAGAAATAACAGACAGTGAGATCCCAACATCTTTATCCAGTCACCATCCAGACACATCCCTTGGTTTTACTCTATGATGTCCCATTCCCAGCAGCCTCACCTCTCCAGTCAGCAGGTGGATGATCTGATTGGTCAGTTCCAGGATGTTCTGCTCATTGTTTCCCTCATGTATCAGTGAGTGAGGTGGACAGACCGTGCTGGAGCTCTGGGTCTTGCAGGATCCTCTTAACAGACAGGGACTGCTTCTCTGTATTGTAGGATCGTCAGATCTCTTCACAACAATGTAATCCTACACATAAAGAAACATGTATTAAAATCTCTCTCCTATAAGCCTATACTTCACTGGTTACACAGAACGTCACTTTGTTACCTTGGAGTGATTTATAAAGCTGTTTCACTATCTTTTTCCTGGAAGTGGAATCACCTTAATCCTGCTATTATGTGCTTCTACCACCCACCTCGGTCACTGCTACCCCTGTCTGTGTGTGCGATGCCGGCCTTCTCCATCATAAAGTCCTGTATAGTGCACAGGGCTGAGAAATGCTATGCTAGGGCTACCTGTTTATAATCAGGTCTTATAATCATCACAATCCCCACATTTATACCATGACCAAACTTTAACACCAACAGAAAAAAAATTCCACAAATCTCAGTAGGGCAATCCAGCACCGCTAACGACACACAATCTTATAGGTTTTATTTCTACATTCACACAGGGTCTATCTGGCTACTATAATAGATTTTTATTTATTTTTTAAATTTTTTATTTTATTTGTGCATCGCGTTAACAAGCAGTTTTGCACTGCAACGACAGCTGGTGCAAACATAAAGGAAACATGCAGTAACAGTAGTGTAGCATCAGAAACATTGCACATTTTTAAATTATAGCAGGAGTAACATATTAGACATATCAGGCTGCGACACAGTGCTAGTGGTAGCTGTAGTTAGGTTAGCTGGATGCTCTAACGCACTGGGAATGTGTAAGTCTTTTGATTAAAGGCACAGCTCCCATGGGTGTAACCAGAATGATATTAACTATCTTAAAGAAGTTAGAAAGAAAACTTATAACATTAACAATATCATAGTGTAGGCGTTTCTTGTTAAATTGGGTAACACACATAGGAATTGCTTAACTGATATATGATCTCTGCCTTGCAGCTCGGGGCTCTCCTCTGTTTTGCCTGCCAGTGACGTCCCTTGTAGGGGGTGCTCGTAGCGTACCAGAGGGTGAGTCAGGAGTCTGTATTTTCACCATCTCGGGTGACCCCTGCTTTCGCGGAGGAGAGAGGGCAGCCAGGTTTCCCAGCTGGGCAGGAGAGGGTTCCGTAGTCCGGGCTTTCGCGTTAGCCAGTGTTGGCACTGGAGTCTGGCTGTTCTCCAGCCGCTTCCAGAACTGCCTGCAGACGGTGTCAAATTTTGCCATGAAGGCCTGTGCCCAGTCGTTTGTCCTCTGTCGTTCTGCGGCTGCTGCGGTGCTGTCAGCCATCTTTGCCCGGCCTTGTGGCTCTCGGCTTGAACTGCACCCTGGAGCGTCTTGGAGGTGAGTGCTCCCTGCGTGAAGGTGGACCGGGATACAAAGGGGGTGGAGGGAACGGAGAACCCTGTATGCTGAGTGAGCATTGTGTGGTGTCGGGAAGGCGGCCGTCCCTCCCGTGCCTGCCATGTGGGTAAGCCTTAGGCCTTTGCCTAGTGGATTTTGCTTGTCTGGTAGCTTGGTATCAATCTTCTCGGTGTCTCCCCACGTTTGGAGGCTTTTCTGACACGATTGATCACTGGTTTGACTGTGATAAACAGCTTTATTTGTTGCTTGCTGCTGGAGCTGCCGAGGCTAACGTCCTCTCCTACTATAATAGATTTATTAATTACATGTTTAATAAATATATACCCAGTATCTACTTTACAAATTTCTCCATAATAAGTCTCAGAAAATCCATGTTAAAGCACAGGATAAAAGTGTGTAGTTGACATTCCCAGAATCCCTCACCTCTCCAGTCAGCAGGTAGTTGACCTCCAGGGTCAGATCCAGGATCCTCTCGGTCATCTGATGCCTGTTTGTGTTTGTCATCATTAATCCATTCAGGCAGCCTGAGAACAGGAATTAGAATATTCTGTAATTACAGGTACTTAGTGTATTTCAATGGATACAATAAATACATTATATACACAGCATATACCTGGGGCTGTATATTTACCTCCTATACATTTTATATACATTATAATTTATTATTTATAAAGCTCCAGCAAATTCAGCAGCCCTGTACAATGGGTGGACTAACAAACAAGATTTTATAACAAGGTGAATTGGACGCACAGGAAGACGTGCTCCAGTGATCTTACATTCTACAGGGAGTGGAAGAAAGTGACACAAAGTAATGGTAGGATATACAAGTAGGTTGCTAGAATAGTTTATGTTGAAAGTCTAATTATTATTTTATTTTTTTGGAAGACTTGCAGGAGACCAGGGTGGGTTACCAAGGGGCCGGGAGGGAAAGCTTTTACGATTTTTTTGTTTAATTTGCTTTCTATCGATCAAGATGTAACAGAAAACAAAGAGAAAATTTATACACGATACAGCATAATACGGCACATTCATACCAATAATAAAAGTATACAGTTATTGTAGATTTTACACAGCATTTCACTAAATCCAATGGTATTTGAACGTAGTATGGTAGGAATGCTACAAATAAATATTATGAATCATACAAGTAATGCAAAGCAATAACATGATGGAAAACGAAAGAGTAAGATAACATTAGGTACCAGTCGTGTTGGTTCACTAATCTCCTAGAAGGTGCATCTCATAGAATGTTGCATAATATAAGGCCTAGGATGAGACCGGCAGTAGTGCTGTAGAAAGGGCAGAAGCGTCTTGTTTGAGTTGTAGTAAGTTGGGTGCTGTCAGAGTATGGTTGACTCAGTGCGGGTGTTGCAGATTGAAATGGACACGGGGACCTATGATGGGTGTGGCAAACCTAGCCACTTTAAGTCTTACTGTATAACATGGGACGGTTGTCTGCTTTTAGTGTATGTAAGGATGTATTCATGTGTATTTGCAATAAAGAGTATTCGTATGCCAACGGCCGAAAGCCGCTAGCATTCATATGGTAGTTTCACAAACAGGGACTTTTCGTGAAACGAATAAAGTACCGAATGGGAGCCCACACACAGAGGGTCGTGTGTCTCCCTTTAACCGATTGCAACATTGTCCTTTGTTAGCCCAGCGGTGTTTGGTCATCGAGTGTCTGGAACTAAAATCGGCTACTCGACGGCGCGAACACCGCTGGACTTCCAGGCCGTTTGGGAGCACCGGCCCTTTGGTAGTTTGTTGCCTAATGTGTATTCAGTACTTTTAATGAGAAGGTAAAATGAACTGTGTTTTATCCGGTTACTGGGGGATTTGGGATATTGCCTTCATTTCCAGCAATTTACTTTGGATTACTTTCTATACCAGCGGAGATCTTGAGAGTTATTACTGCAGATCCGCTACAATGGGTTACTAAGATTAAGTAACATATGAACTATACAGGTTTTCACAGCCACAGTCACCCACACCTCCAGTGCAATTCCTTAGTCTAGGTCAAGCATGGGCCACATAAACAAGATTTACGTTTTATTTAAGTTTATGTGGGCCACAAAAAAAACACAAAAAAAAAAACACACACACACACAACTTAAATTTTCATCCCCTTCTACTAAACCACAGCACCCCCTCTACTAAATCCCAGTCCCCCTCTAGCCAACAAGCAGACTCCATTCACATTGCTGCTGCCAGTATGCGACTCTGGAGTCAGGCCTCTGGTATACCCCAAATGGCACCGTCTGCAACCTGTGCCAAATCTCGGTACTTCCCGCTACCCTGTGAAGGTGGAGCACATCGATATCATGTCAGAATGTGACGTGGCGTTACGTGCCTCCATGCACCTCCAGGTACTCCACTGTCCAGTCGCAAAATATGCAACACTGCCCAACACACAGACAGACACACACACACTCACAGACAGACAGACACACACATTTACACATTCTTGCACTCAAACCATTTTATTTATTGCTCCCTACCTTTGGGAGCTGGTGTGGGACCTCTTCTATCTGGAGATCTCCTTCCGGCTCTTCACTGCTCCCTTGCGCGCAGTCATACGTCATATTCCAGCGCCCAGCATCACTACAGTGAGGAGCAGGAAGGCTGAGCTCCCTCGCTGCATCCACCTTCCTCTCCTCCCCGGCCAGGTAACTTTTAGCAGAGTAGGCACCTGCAATGTGGATAAAGCAGGTGCCTACTCTGCTATGACGCTAAGCATGTACTCGCGGCTCGCAAAGATGTCCATTGTGGGTCGCATGCGGCCTGTGGGCCGTGAGTTTGACATGCTTGGTCTAGGTAATAAATCATTGGCTTCATTTAAGAGGAACCATAATAGCTTTTATTTAGCAGGATTTTGGAAGGCATTAGGTAGCCCAATAAGATTTGCGAGGGACTGAGAGTGTAATTGATAGTATTTGCTTTATGAAGTCCAGTACCTGTTTCTAAAACCTTTGTATCTTCAGTCAAAACAACCAAATGTGTTCTAAATGACTCTCTGCTGAGCCACATCGCCAGTAACTGTTACTAACATTGGGGAAAAGTAAATAAACTGCTGTTGGAGTACGGAACCAACTCGTAACTTGCTTATAGAAGAACCATTTTAGCTTGAATAAGTGGTGTAGACCAAACCCTCTGGAATAAGTGTAATCAATCCCTTTCGGTTAGGTGTATATTTACCCCCCATACATTATATACACAGGGCTGTATATTTACCCCATACATTATATACACAGTATATACAGGGGGTGTATATTTATCCCATACATTATATACACAGTATATACAGGGGGTTGTATATTTACCCCATACATTATATACACAGTATATACCCAGGGCTGAATATTTACCCTCTCTTACCTTACAAAAACAGTGTAAATACCCAGGGGGGCTGTATATTCATTATATATACAGGGGGTGTATATTTACCCCATACATTATATACACATTATATACAGGGGGGTGTATATTTACCCCATACATTATATACACAGTATATACAGGGGGGTGTATATTTACCCCATACATTATATACACAGTATATACAGGGGGTGTATATTTACCCCCATACATTATATACACAGTATATACAGGGGGTGTATATTTACTCCATACATTATATATATATTTCCCCCATACATTACAGGCAGTTCCCATTGATCTCACATTAGATACATAGAACATTATATTTGAACATTTCCTTTGTGTAACT